CTGATGCTGTAACCCCATCATAGAGGGCCACGCACCATGATGACATGTTGAAATGCTATAGCAAGTGATATTCTGGACATCCTATTGAGAGACAGCAAAGCTTGACTTGAGGGCGGCTTAAATGCATTTCTCAGCATACAAGTTATGTGTGCACTCTGGTATAGTGCTTGCAGTCTGTGTAACAACATTAGATTCAAGTCAAAGGAGCTGTATCAGGGGTGAATTTTGAGTAGTTGAATTGACAGAACAAGTTATTCATTTAGATGAACCTATCTTGTCACTATGGGGTTTGTATATGAAGCTGTGTGCTTGGTCTTTGTGTCCCATGAACCCTCATTAAAGCACTGCCTTGTTGGGAGGCTGTTAAATCACAACCCAGAGCTTAAGTGTGGATTGTCAGCTGTTAGAGCACTATCTGATAAAATTGATTCTTTAAGTCTCTATATAGTTTCTTTGACTAACTTTTCTCTTTCTATTTACAGAATAATAAACAATTTGTATATAATACTTCTGAAGAAATAAGAGAAAAGTATGAGACTTTTATTGCAGACTTGAAGAAGCAGGATTTCCTGCTCAGAGAAACTTTTCCACCAGAAGCAGAATCTCTAGCTTCTATAAAATTACAAAAGGCTTGTACAACTTTCGTGTTTACACTTTTCTGTCCTTAAGATTTGTTTTAGTTTCTAATTTTCTGAATGTGGTAAACATTGTCTAGATTACAGTGATACAGCCATAGGTTAAGGGAAACTCTTTATATGTAAATGTTTTGAAATATTTTTTTTCCAGAATATTGAGTGAATGTTCCAGGTACTTAAACACATTAAAAGCAAATGTAGTCATATTCATTATAGTTTTGGGTTTTTGAGGGACTATCCAGATGTCACAAGCTTGATGTAGATCGTATTGCAATCAGTAACAGGACCCCCCCAATGGGAATAGCAGTTGGATTCTGCTCCGTAAAGTACTCTTCAGACAATGTTTTACCTCTATTTAAAATGGTTGTAGTGTGACAGAATTTTTTTTTTCCATTTACTTTCTCACTGTACTTTATCTACTTCTCTCTTCTACCATGGTAAGCCTCTACTATAGGGCACAACTGTCACATAGATTATATCCAACAATGTTGAAAGGTCCACATATGTCCTCCAGTGATCTCAGAAGCTGTGTGGTTGATGCCATATAAACAAGTAACATAGAATGTCCAAACTTGTGTGAGAACAGTTTAATGACATCAAGCTTAATAGCAGCTTCTGGAGTTGTAGAACAGTGAGAAAAAGCTCAGGGAAATGCTTTAACAATGTTCCTCAGAAAAACATGAGAAAATCTATTTTCACAACTCTTTTCCGTGTATGAATTGCACTGACTTTTCATGGCCTTTCTATTCTCCTATAGCTGTGTTGCTCCAATTTTTTATTTTCACAGGAATCATGTCTTTTCCACCAGAGCTTTCTGAACTAGAAATCTAGTGTCATCTGTTAGAGATGTTACAAAACACCAGCCATTTTGAACCATCTGTTCTCTTACCAACTGTGCAAAAAAGGAAGTGGCTGGGATCTGCAGACTATTATGTCCGTGTACCTGATAGTACAATGTACTGATAAAGACACCAAGCAAATCAACTTCTGTCTTCTCCAAGACTTTATGTCTCAATTTTCAAGAGAGGTGATGGCCATGTGGCCTGTCATGCTCTCTGATTGAAAGAATTTATAAAAGCAAACCTTCCCTTCAGTTCAATGGGACTGAAGAAATTATACTAAGCATAAAGGAGCATTGTACACTGTATTGTTTATGAGAATAGGCAAGTTTAATTATCTGAGTGAGAACTTCACTGTCATGACTTGCATCTTTGTCTTTTCACTGAATTGTGTTCATTTTACTACAGTTACTTCTAGAAGAAGCCATCCATTCAAGTGCTATATGTCAGGAAGTTAGTGATTTTGTGGAATTGACCTGGGCGGAAGCTATTGGCCACCTGGATAGTTTACTACTTGAACCGGTAAACAACATAAGCCTAAATGATGTAAGTTAATTCTTGTTACTCTGTGAGAATGAATATGTAAATGCTGTCAGAAGTAATGTGTTTCCCAGCAAATGCATATGTTTCAGATTGGGATCGGTAATTACACTTTTGATACTTCTGCACTTCAACAAATCCATACTTCAGAAATTTTTATCTCAAATTTTGCTTCAGAATCATGACGCTAAATAACATGCTGCGTTCCCTAGGGCAGATGGCTCTTTTCCATTTTATAGCAATTTACACAATTCTTATGGGAGGATCTCTTCCATGAGATAAGTCAAGTCATATAAGAAGATAGTCATAGAAGACAGTGCATAATAGGTTACTGTCTCCTCACAGTATGTTTCAACCATACTTCAGTCAGCCATTCTCTTGTAATGGAAAGATAGTTTTAATTATAGTCCCTGTCTGCATTATCAGATGGCACATGTAATTAACAGCCAGCTACTCTGAAGGCCTTTGGATATTACAGCTGTTATTAAGAGTAACGTGCCTGTCCACCCCTTTGTTAACTCTGCGGCTCATTTAGTCTCACTTTCCTCCATACCTCAATTCTTTTGCTTTGCTCCCTAGACATTTAAGAGGATAATGTTTATTCATGTAATTTAAATTCATATAACTTAACAAACAGCCAACAAAACGACTGTTTAAGATGAGAGTTTTGTTCATCTCTGTTATGACTGAAAGCAAAATTACCTGAAGATTATGTTGGTATTAAATTGGAAGAGTTTTGCCAGTAGAAGGTCCCCAATTCTGGAATGACTTTGCCTTAATCTTATTACATAAAACTCACTTTTGATGCTCTTCAACTGTTGTATGGTAGAAGAATATTCCTTTCACTTTTTAAGGGAAAATAATACACATTTATGTAGGTTCTGGTGAGTAAGTAGTACATTAGTAGTATTATATACACATACTGAGAGACAGTAGTAAGAAGTGCATTGCACAAATCGGCAAATACATGAAGGAAATGCTGTTTGTGGTAGTGCTTTTTATGAGGTGCAATTGTTTGGATATTAAGATTCCTAACATATTTCAGGTAGGTGAAGTTTTATAAATACGTGATAAATAATTTTCAAAATACCTCTGCTTGAGGTACTTTACATCTAGCTCAGTATAAGGGCAGAATAATATCCAACTTTTGCATACTGTTTTCATATCCTAGCTGCAAGAAAATATTTTGTGGGTATTGCACTAACAAGAGTTAAAGTTTTATTTTAGTGTGGAATTAAATGATCCATTCTGAGTATTTATTGCTTTGCATTCTTTCTGCAATTTTGCAATACCTTTCAGTTTAATAATCTCTTCTTTTAAAGGTGAGCAAAGCAGAAGGTATTTTACTCCAAGTGAAGAATGCACTGGATGAGGGAACTAATGAGGTGGCACTACAAAAGATGATGATGGAATTCTATCAAGTTATACGTCACAAAACTGAAGTAGACTATAAAGTTTCCAAAAAGCTGTTATCTAGAAAACAGGACCTGTGTCAGGTAACTTTTCCAGATTGCTAGTAAGTCCTGATCTGCACTGTGCTACACCAGTTTTGAACATGCTCACTAGATAAATTGGCAGGATAGTTGCACAGCTAGTCACAAGCTGTCCGTTTAAAAAAACTAATTTATTGGAATCTTATGAATAGAGTCACGCTCATGGCGGGAGTTCAGTGTTTTGAACAGGAAGACCAGTTGCTGTCCAGATAGTGAGAGGAGTTTCCATTGCAAACATTGTTGTGGTGGCATCTTCAGCTGGATCAAATGAGAATCACAGAACTGTTGTTATCATCCAGCTGACCCTAGCAACTACTCCAGGAAATAAACAATCAATTTCTATTGTTTATCTTAAACTATACACAAAATATATCTAAGCTATTTTAACTATACACAAAGACTGTTCTGTCTAGCCTTTCCTTTCCTGCGTATGCAGGAACAGTTTCTAGAGACTATTTAAAATTACCAATCTATGCAGCTTGGTCTGTACAGCACAAACTGCCTGGGGGAGTTCCCTGGGCTGCCTGGATTGTTAGCGCAAGAAGTTAGTCAGCACATCTAAACAGATAACATCTATCAGTTGGTCTAAGTTGTCTCATCTTTGCAGAAACTCGCTGGGAAATTCTCAGCCTGCCGGGGGAATTGCCGACAAGGCGTGCTGAGTGCGCACAGATGCAGCCCCTGCACCCAGCAGCAAGGGCCGGCTGCTCCGTAAGGGCAGGTGGACGGGGCTGGGGGTGAAAGTGAGCAAGGCCAGGGCAGTTACACCGCTGGCAGGGGCTTAGTCCCACGGTACCCAAATAGGAAGAGCAGAGCAGGTGACAGTGACTGCTGGTGATAGTAGCCAGGGTCAGTCCAGATTGCCTCCTTGTTATGGCTTGTCTGGCAGGTCCAAGGTCAAACCAGGAACTTGAGTCCACAAGATCTGGGTCACAAACAGGGCTGCAAGCATATCGGCAGCATAGCTCAGCCAAGAGACCAAGGTCAAGAGCCTAAGTGCAAAGGCATCTTTTGAGCAAAGAAGGGGCAGGAATCTGCTGAGTCTTCTCAGAGCTCTCTTTCAAGGCCCCACAGCTGCACTGTCAAGGCTGGCCTTCAGCCCAAGCAGCCAGGCCCTCTGGAGAGGTGAGAGGCTTTCAGGGCTCTGACAGCTATATCACTCTTGTAACTGCAGAGAAAACTCAAATTTTCTCCTTGTATTGCAATTATAGTGTAAATTCCATAGATTCTGCTAGATACACCTTTTCCTGGTGTATCTGATATCCAGAAGTCAGTCTTCTGTAAGCTACAAAATTTAAAGGGGGAGAGGTAGGGAGGCTCCTTACTGTTCTAAAAGAACATATATTAATAGTACCTTTAAACTTGGAAATCTTTTGATATTTAAAACCTTTTGATATTTCTGATATATATAAAAAAAAATCCTATGTCTCATTAACCTTTCCCATGGCTTAGTGAACTGTACAGTCTTTTCAAAGTTACATGTCCATCTTTCTCCTGCTCTGAGAAAATTACATTGGTGCCTTGTGCTACTGCCCTAGCTGAATAGTGACATCAGGGACAATGACAGATTCTAATAAGTAAGGATTACCTCATAAGCAAAATCAAAATGGTAACCAAGCATAAATACTGGTTTGTGGAGCTGTTAAGAGCAGGCTCCATCCAAAGGTTGATCTGGAGTTGTACAGAAGCAGTTTAACACTATTTCTTATATATCCTTTTCTTCTGAACTGTTTTCATGGCATTCTACAGCCATTTGCTCTTGTTCCGAACTGTATCTAACAAGTGGAAATGTTCTTTTGAGTATTCCATTTAATTGTTACTATGCTGTAACTTTATATAATTCAGTCTGGTTTGCATGTTTCCTTAATTAAATGTACCAAGTATTCATAAATTTCTGACTATTTTCTAGCTAATCAGAGACATGCTTGATATACGTGAAACAAATATGTCGTGCCCAAACCCATCATCATTGGCCAAATACCGGGCTCTGAGGTGCAAGATTGAAGCTGTTGACTCAACAAGTTATGAATTCCTCAATGTTAAACAACAAGTGTTAAAAAACAATTACAAGTGAGTTATGCAATAATTCCAGTAACATTCAAGATATAGTGCACAAAATACCTCTAAAGAGAACTGAATTACCAGGTTCTGTTAGTGTGCAGTGTTGATTGCACTAATGGGATTGCAGAACTGGCATATTTACCATAACTTATACTAGAGTGAAATGGAAGTAAATAAAAAAAAACCCCACAACTGAAAATTATCATATAGTTCAATTTTGGTGCATTATTTTTCTGCTTGGGGGGGTTTTTTGTTTTTTTAATTGTGAAAACCTGTCTATTTACAGGAGTTACTAAAATAAGATATATGGGGTCTAGGCTTGTTTACTCTGCTTCTCAGTATTTATTTCCAGGCATTTTATAAAATAACTGGAAAGTAAACATGGAAGTAAAATTTTGGTTTCTGCAGAGTAAAACAAATGGGTTTTTTTCTGTGTGAATAAGCTTGATGAGGGTGGGAGGAAATACCCTCGTTTTGATTACATACAGAACTTGCCATCCCTCTCTAGTTAGCTTTCAGTTGTGTGAAAAAGATGTATTTCTGGGAAGTTATTCTGCAGATTTGCCTATAATTCTATTTAATGTTCTTGACATTAGCTTCTAACTGGGCACCCTGTCTCTTTTGATTAATAAAATTAAAAAATAGGTAAATATGGAAAAATTAAAGAGAAGGTGGTTCTAGAAATGGAATAATCAATGGTTAGATCATTAATACAGGGAAGAATGACGTGGGCTTCAGTTACACATATATAGTCACTCCAAGTTTGTTTTTACTGAGTAAACATGCTGTTAAGCAGCTAAGGTCTAAACCTACCTAGCAACTATGGGTTACTAAGTGGTTATACCCAAACATACATTGCTCAACTATGGAAGAAGCACTGTGCTTGGAATACACAAACTTCTGTTTCTCTTCAGCAGAGTTCAGTAGTTGGCTTTCACTTGACATTTTGTCTGAATTTTTAAATCATTTAAAATTAATAGAACAATAGTTTATATGGCTCAGTTCCACCTTATAGTTCTTTGTGACAGAAACAATTGAGTAAAGTTCTGGGGAATTTGCTGTTACCTGAACGCAGGGGACTGCTCTTTGTGGATAGCAGTTATCTGTGTTAGAACCTATATACTAATTCATAAACTAACTAATTGTAAGCACAGGATTTTCCCCCAAAACCTTTACTCTACTCTTATACAACAGATAAACATAATGACATTGCAAGAATTGGACCATATTTAGTCCCTTTCAGTCTCTGCATTTGCAATCTTAGTTTTTAATCTAAAATCAATTTTAAAAAGCTTCAACTGAAGTAGAAGCATGTTAAAGGATCAAGGTCCAAGTAAGGTTCTTAAAAAAAAAAAAAACAAAACCAAAAAAACCTTCATATAAGAAAGTTCATTTTGCAGCTTCATAAATTAGGACAAAATATATATCTAATCCTCAATAAAAGAAACCACACAGTTTGAGTAAAGTGTTCAAAATTACAGAAGAGGCTGGGTCCTATTTACCAATATTATTTTAGCATTTAGGAACTCAAAACTTGACTGAAGATTATTGCATTGAAGATTATGCTCAAAAGCATAAAGGTTTGATTTATAAACAGGGCTTCATGCTTTTATTTTCCAGGTGCTACCTACTTTCAGTATCTAAATTTAAAATTATGATCCTTAAGTCCTCTTCTCAGTTGCTTTTTAAATCCAGAGGTTCCTCACTGTGTGACAGGAATCCTAGAATCCTAAAATTATCTTCTGGATATTTCATAGCATATCACAAATATTACAGACTCTGAGCTCCATAGAGTTACATGGGGTTTTTTTTACATCACATCTTTGAATTTAGATCCCAAAATGTCGACTGAGATTATATGACTTTAAGCATGTAAACACATTTTTGATTTCTCCCTGTCTAAACAGGTCTTGAACTTAGTCATTAAGTTTTTAATATCTCTGGTGATTGTTCTCTTATGCTATTTTTTCTTTAATATTTGCCACCCAAATTGCTAACACCAAAAACAAAAGAAAAGGTTGACTGTTACTTGGAGATTTAGAAGAATACATTATCTTTCAACAGTGTATTGATCTTAAATGCACTAAATCATGAGATCTCAAGATGATTTCAAATTTCTTGCAGTGACTGTCCAGTGAGAATTTTAAAAGTGTATAGGGTTGGCAGAATAAGTGAAACAGCAGAATTTCTGAGCAGTCTTGGAAACATTCAGTCCTTATTCCATGCATCATCTGTGCACAACTTCATGGGAATTCTTTCCAGGTAAAAATTTACATTCCCTTTTTTGTGACGTTGAATCAGGATTAATTATATTCTTAAATATATTTTGACTTTTAATTTTTTTTTATTAAGCTCTTTTGCATTGTTTACCCTATTTTTTACTGTTAACATTTATATGAACATCCATATACTTCTGCAGACCTCTGGATGGAAAATCAGTCTTTTGTAATGATAAATGTAATTACTGTCCAGATAGATTAGACTTGAGTTGCAGCTATTTGGATGTGATGGTGAGGAGTGTCATTTAAATCCAGATGAAATATAACAAAATCGAGAGAGTAGGAGAGCAATGGCTGTGTGGAAAATTTGTTCTGTTTTAGGAAAGAATTGCATTGACGATGCAATGTCCTCCTTCCACTTCTATACATTCTTTCCCCACAACTACTGTATTTGGCATATTTTTAGATTATCATAATTTCCTGGATTAACAGAATATCTAGTTCTAGACTGAATACCATGGATTCATTCAGGCATGGTAATAATGCTAAAATAATATAACCTCTAGTAGCCTGACATGTTTAAATCCTCATCATAGCATGTATGCAGTGAATATCAGCCACTGAAAATTTAAGGATGTTTGAAAAAATATATGTGATATATGACACCATCAGAATTCAAATACCTCAGAAGTCATATTAGCATCTGTTTTCCTCATACTGCAGATTTTAATTGTAAGTTACAAAACTGTTGAACTTATTTAAATATTCTGTCTTTTTACATTCTTTATATATAAAATGTTTTCTGTGGGCATCAATCGGTAGTAAATCAAATGTCTCGTAAACAGTCTAAGAATGATATCTCTACACTATTAGGTTTCCAAATCAAACATTTGAAAAGTTTCCAAGTATCCATTCCCCAGCATTCTACCTTTAAAACTCATACTCTCTTTTTCTTAGATACAAAAATTTCATACATTTTTTTAAATTAAATACAGCATAGTTGCCAGAAATGTAGAACTACTCATTTAATAACCAAAAAATTATTTTGAATGTTTGGCAATGAATCTGGAAAATGCATTGGTTTTCTGCTAAATGAAGAAGAGCTAACAGTCTTTATTGCTTATGTAATCAGTGTCTTGGTGATTAATATAACTTTGTGATTTATTTTTTTATAAATAGACTTTATTTTCCTTGAGTGTCTATGGATGGTTTTTGTAAAGTGTATTTTCTGTTTATCCTCTGTGGTTCGTAACTGCACAATGTGTATCAGCCCACATGCTATATGCAAAAGTATTTTGCACTTCATTCATTGTGTGACTTTTTTTTTTTTCTCTAGAGGACTCTTATTGCCTAAAGTGGTTGTTGAAGATCATGGCCTGCAAAGAACTGACATTGGGAATCTGGGCAGTGGCATTTACTTCAGTGATTCTGTTAGGTCTGAATAACGTCAATATCTCTTTATTCTTTGTCTATTATTTTTACTTTTTAAATTAAGTAGATGTAATGCTTAATACTTTTAAGGTAATTTAATTATAAAGTTTATTCTTGTCCATCTATTCAGAAGTACTTCTCCTTAAACTCCTACGATGTTTACAGTAATACAAATATTAATAAAATGTGTATGATCTTTCTTTACTTATAGCGCCAGTATTAAGTATTCTTCACCCAGTGAAACGGATGGAACCCGACTCCTGGCAGTTTGTGATGTGGCACTTGGATCCTGTGTAGATTTGTGTGAACGAGATTATTCATTAAATAATGCACCATCAGGTTATGACAGCGTGCATGGAGTCCGTAAAACAGCAGATGTCTCTTCAGACTTTGAGGTACTGATGCTGCAGTATTGGGCACTTGAAAAGGCACCAAGTTTTGGATTTATTACACCAGTGGTAGATAACAGAATGAGCGTAACCTACATTTCAGTTCTTCAGACACTAAATCGCTAGACAGTAATGCGTAAAATCACTTGTCTGACTTGCAGCCTGTAAAGTGCATATAAAACTTCTAAGCCTCTAAGTTGCTATTTGTAAAGAATTCTTGCAAGAAAACAATACTTAAAAGAAAGGTGTAAATATTATATTTTATTATAACTGAATCATTGTATAAATATCTGGTCTGCGATATTTAAATTGTTATTTGGAAGCAATATTCTTCTTTGTGTGGAATAAAAAATCACTACCATGGAAGGTTCATTGTTTTGTAAATGAATCCAGCTGATAAAAATCCCTGTCCTAATAGGTTGGTATTCTAAGGCAGGGATGATAGCTGTAGTAGTACACTAACAGAAATAGTTGCTGTCTAGATATCCACCATTTTTTTATTTTTTTCTTAGTTATTTTGAGGAATGATTGTGCTATACAGTCTAGAGGAAATATAAGGAGTCTGGAGAATGAATACAAAGTGAGAAGATAAGAGATTCAAGTGGTAGTGATACAGAGAGATCAGGACAGTGAAAATAAAAGCTGTAAAATTATTATTTTTCAGAAATGATGTGTCAGGTTCACCTTTTAATCAATTTGCATTGGTTTAGATATTATCTACAGCTTTGTTTTTCTTGTAAAATACCTTTCTTTGTTTCTACCAGGACGATGAATTTGTTGTGTATAAAACCTGTCAGGTTAAAATTAGATATGTTGTTAAGTTTTGCCTTGCTGAAGATCAAATAAAACCATTTCAGCCTGCAATTGGGGTGGAACTGGATCAAGAAAACAATAAGCAAGAGTCGCAACATCATTTACAGCATGAAAGTAAGAAATGTTTTCTGTTTGTATATTTACTTGCTTCCAGAGTTTCCTAAATACTTACCAGAACCCTTTTTAGAGTACTTGTATGAAGATAACATACTAAAAAATAATTGGTAGTTTATTTGCAGATGTTACCAAATTAGTGATTACCATGTGGCATCTGTGTAGCATCTGTTTAACAGATTTCCTATAGGCATAATTACCAACAGCAGCTGCAACTCCTCCTGTCACAGTGTGTTTCAAGAGAAGCACAGGAAGCACTTATGCATAAATCATCAGATGGTCTTTAAATAATGCAACTGCAAGGTTCTAAACAAAGACCTTGTAAGACCTCACAGAACTATCATGAACTTACGATCTGTTAGACAGCAATACAGCTCAGCAATACAACACAGTTATTCATAAGAGAGACTGAATGTTACTTTTTGTGTTCTGAATTGCGTAAAAAATCATGGGCTGTTGATACAGGATTAGTTTCAGTCATCCTTCCTGAATGTATATTTCAAGAAATATCTTTTTAATCTTTTGTAAACTCTTTGTTTAGGCTATGCGTTACCAAATGCAAACCTTTCGAATCCTTTGAAAACTGGTCTTCAGGATAGATTGGGAAATCCTGTCCCTTTGGAAGGTGTTCATATCAAAGGGAGGATAATAGACTTTGTAGCACAGGTAGAGTATGCTATTTATTGTCCTCTTCCATAACTCAGCCCTGAAAAATTAACTATTTGTTAAATAGTGTTTTAGTCAAAATGTGATTTAGTGTTTAGTTAATTGCAAAAAAAAAAAAAGGCAATTCAATCTCTAAATGAAGGAAAGTCCTGAAAATGAGTGGAAACAATTTTTATTCTTAGAGATGTATAGTCAAACAAATGACAAAAGCTCTTTGGTCAGTGAAAGGCTTGGTTTTATTTTTATGTCTGTTTTCTACCTATGCGTAATCAAGTCACCAGTATAGAGAAGCTTTATGCAGTAGTGTACATATTCTGTTCCCTTTAAAAGACCTTCTTGGTGATCTGTTTGCCAGCTGAATTATAAACCAGTGAGAAATACCTAGGATGAGTAAAGCTTTCTGGAAATGTACTTGTGTTTCGGTTTTGACTTTGGTTAGACAACCTAAATTAGCTCTCACAAGTAAAATATCAATCAAGACAGTAGAACTTGCTATTCTAGCCTGAAAATAACTAATAAAAGATAGCCAAACAGGCTAAAATAAGGCCCCACCTTGTTTTTTAGTACATATACACTAAGAACACATTCTGTCAAGTCACAGGTCTTTTCCCAGTCCTGGCACATAATTCCACAATCTCCCCTCCTTCAGCTGCATCCTGTCTGGAGCAGTCTTGACCAAGCTAAAGCCATGGCTTTACTGAGTTCTGTCACATGTCTGTCTCTGCACACGAATTTGTATTCAGGGGTTTCCAGTGCCAACGTAGCTTCATAAAAGTAAACAATGTTTTTTATATGTTGTTGCTAAAGCCTTGAAAAAGAAAGCAGGGAAAAACAGCAGGGAAAAATTGTTGAAAGAATTGTCTGCAAATGAGTCTGTGCTTAAACCATTCTGACACAACTGTTGTCTCATCTGTCTGATTCCTTTGAACAACTCTTCCTCTCATGAGGGATTGTTGGGGTTTGTTTGTTTGGTTTTTGTTTTGTTTGTTGTTGAGGTTTTTTTGTCTAGTTTCCTGTGGAATGAATTACTATCCAGTGACATCTGTTCTATGGCCCAGTTCATCAAAGCAGAGAACAGTCTACAAGGCTGAGGTACAGACCATAAACCAGAAATGAGCAGATGACAAGAGACAATAAGAATGGCAGCAAAGGAGAATGAGGAATTGCTAGAGTTTTGTTATGACACAAGAGAAGTAAACAGAAGAGCAGATGTGAGAAGAAAGTCAGGTGCAATCTGCCACCTCAGAGACAGAAATTCTGTCAGTAGAAGATGGATACTATACATATAGAAGTAACATAGGCTTTTCCAAACATCCCTTTCGTAAAAATAGACCCATTTTTTTGTGGAGGTTTACTCTTCCTTCTTGTTTAGTCCTTACTGGTTTGAAACTATTATAGACCTATTGCAGTGGTGGCTTCTTTTGTAGGCGATAGCTTGACAGCTCCAGCTCTGCCAATATGTCAGATAACCTTTAGAAGGTCATGGTTTACTCTTCTGGAAGAGATTTGATTAATGATTTAGAGATTAAAAGTTCTACAGCTCCTTGCATGTTTCTGGAGATGTGTCAAGCACTGATGAATGTTACACCTTCATTTCTAAGGTACAAATAGGAGTTCCAGTAGTGGTATACCTGTTGACATTTTGCAGTGCAAAGCAGTTATGCTGTTACCCTTAAAGTATTGATGTTTAAATCACGTTTTAACATTACAGTTACGTGAAAAATGTTCATTTCAGGTAGTAATGTTTCAGACCTACACCAATCAAAACAGTAAACCGATTGAAGCTAAATATGTTTTTCCTTTGGATGATAAAGCTGCTGTTTGTGGATTTGAAGCTTTTATCAATGGAAAACATGTCATTGGAGAGGTAAAATGTTATTGTACTTGCCTTTGATTTAGCTCCTTCAATCTCTAAAATCCAAAAGCACTTAATTAGTAACGAAGATGCACAACACTAATTTTGGTTTCATGTCCTTTGTTGTTACCACTTGACTGGATTTCAAGGTAGTTGCATCATTTAAGAGAATATTGGTTAAGCTGTCTGTCTATAGAGATGAAATGACGTATTTTGGAACAATCTTTCATAGGTTAAAGAAAAAAAACAAGCACATAGGGAATATCGGAAAGCTATCAGTCAGGGTGATGGAGCTTATCTAATGGACCAGGATGCACCGGTATGTTGAATATTGTGGTTTAGTACCTACTTGAAAATTTTGCAGTTGTCCAAGTACAGATTCTTTGGTGAATCATGTCTTTGTTCAGAAACTCTTTTTTTATGAGAACTTATTTGGATCATATATTTGATCATTTTTAAGAACAACTATTGCTTCTTCAAATATGTGCTATGGCGTACATAAACCAGATACTTCTCTTTCAGGTGGTTTCCTTTTTTTTTTTTTTTTTTTTTTGTAAAGGATTGATATATTCAGTACCTATTGATCAGTTTTTGCCAGAAATTAAGGAATTAGTGAAAGTTTGACATTTCATATCATAGTCCCATTTTTCCTTACATTTCACCAAAACCGAATAGTAATTTCTGTGTTAGCATTTGGTTTCACTGTGCCTAAACACCACTTCAATTACTGTTTTGGAAAACATAGGCTTTAATGGTGTCATTAAAGCTAGTTTTGGTTTTTTTTGGCATTTTTTTAGGATATTTTTGTAATAAGTGTTGGAAACTTACCTCCAAATTCTACAGTTGTGATCAAAATCACCTATATCACTGAACTGAGTTTTCAGCATGGTTGTATCACCTTTCACCTGCCTGCTTCTGTGTCACCATGGCAACAGGACAAAGCATTAAATGAAAACACACAGGTTTGTTAAACTGCAATCTTAAAATAGCATCTTCTTGTTTTGAAGCAAAAGTTCTGTGCCTAGGGGACAGTAGTTACACAAGAGGCTTCTGTAAGTTTATGATTGTTTTCATTTTCATTTCTTCTCTTTTGTCAGAAGATAATTGTTTGTAACCTTTCTTGTCATAAAGCAATGTGAACACAAACTTAGGAATGCTGAGATTGGTAGAAAGCCTCTAACTGTCTCTGAGGATGTAATTGCTCCTGCAGGACTTAGAAAGTTGACTTGAGTTGGCACATGTTAGATCTCATATTTTGAGTTATCTGCTATTTCTGTGCTGCTGTTCTTCCTTTGGCTTGCAAAGACATATTATCTCCATCATGAAACAGCAGCTGAGCATCTGCTGAACACTCTGTCATTATCCTTCTCTGCTTCAGGGACAAGGTTGCCCATCCATTTCTTTGGATGCCCTTGATGGCTCCTGAATTCTCCAGGTGGGAGGGGCGGTCATTTCTGTATTTAAGTGCTGGCAAAGAGCCAGAGATGGTCCTTGTGGTCGTAGTCCCTGTGAGATCATATAACTGTATCATATCTGACTGTTCAACAATCATGCCTTCTGCTTCAGAGATGTGTTATACTGAGTTCTGAAGTTCTCTGTGTCCTTGGGAGAGAAACGTGCGCAGGTTCATCTGAATTTTAGCTGCTGTGATGCTCAGATAACAAAGCTGTATGATTAAAAGTAGAGTTCCATGCAGTCTCAACTTAGTGATATAAGAGAAAGGAGCTCCTGGGCAGTAAGTGTTGGGAATGACATACAAATATTTCATAACTGGCAGTTAAAAAAAATTTTTTTCTTTGTAGGATACAATAAAAAAGGTGTGTGTTAAACAATTAAAACCACAGAAAAAGTAAGTCACTTTCATTAATATTGTTATTTGCTTTATTTTATCAATACCTTAAATGATTAAAATATTTAAAATTAACATTTTTCTATTTCTGTGGAATATTTGATGGTAAGTTGTATTATCAAGAAACTAATTTAATTTCACCCTTCACTCTTATCTGTTGTTATCCTTAGATAGGTATATATCATAAGGGAATAACTCCTAATTATTACACTCCTTTTCTTCACTAAATACTTCCTTTTGTTTTAGAAACACTTCTGTTATTAAGGATTATATATAAATTCCCAAGTCACAAAACTTAATGAGACCATGACAAGCCCTGATCCTTATGGGGGACTTCAGCCACCCCGACAT